TAAACTGTGGAGCAATAAGCTTTGCAGTTTATTGCTGCACACAAATGGCACATGTAGATGCACCCAGTCTGAAGTTCAGTAAAGCTCTCAGAGTCAGACTGGATTACTACCAGGGGTCTTGCCTAGAGATTTATTGATTTGAGGGCAACATGAAGGTTGTCCCTACCTAACAGTGGATATATTTGTCTCTTTTATGAATTGTTTGCATGTATGAATCTGTGAATTAGGTTTGAATTCCCTCACTTCAATAACCCTTTCTGCTCTCCTCAGAGGGTCTCACTCCACATCATCTCTTCTCTATTGTCATGCTCATATGCATGGCTATGCATGTTTCCAAGTCAATAGTCTCCAAGAAAAAGAAGTTACAGTCAGTTTTGGTATCAATGGGCCTTTCTAGGTGCCACAAAATTGGCTTCTAAAGCAGCTTAAATGCTCTTTTGCACCTCTTTAATTTCATAGTTTCATAGTTTCATAGTAGTTTGGAGTCAGAAGTAACCTGAATAGATCATCTAGTCTGACCCTCTGCCACTGGTAGGAGTACACACTGGGATCACACGACCCCAGACAGGTGTTCATCCAACCCAAGGTAGGAGCGAGGACCACTTCCCTAGGAAGTTGGTTCCAGATCCTAACCACCCTAACAGTGAAATAGTGCCTCCTAATCTCTAATCTGAACCTATTCTCCAGCATCTTCTGGCCATTGTTCCTCGTCACCTCAGGTGCTGCTGGGGGGAATAGGGCCCTTCCTATTTGCTGCTGATCTCCCCTAATGAGTTTGTAGGCAGCCACTAAATCCCCCATCAGCCTCTGCTTGCTGAGGCTGAACAGATTCAGGTCCCTCAGCCTCTCCTCATAGGGCCTGCCCTATTGCCCTCCAACCAAGCGGGTGGCCCTCCTCTTTAACCTCTCAAGGCAGGCCACATCCTTCTTAAAGTGCGGTGCCCAGAACTGGATGCAATACTCCAATTGTGGCCTGACCAATGTCACGTAGAGGGGGAGTATCACCTCTCTGGACCGGCTTGAGATGCATCTTTGGATGCACGACAATGTGCGGTTGGCTTTGCTGGCTGCGGTCTGGCATTGAAGGCTCATGTTCATCTTGGAGTCAATAATGACTCCAAGATCCCTTTCTGCCTCTTTGATTGCAA